ACAGGCCACTCGGCCTCATTTACAACCCCAGAAAGGTGATGAAACAGCTCATTCTGGAGGTCATCTCTAAGCATCTGGAGAAAAAGAAGGTTATCAGCAGTGGTTAACATGGATTTACTGAGAGGAAATCAAGCCTGACCAATCTGATAATCCGTCTGTGATATCATGACTGGCTGGGCAGATGAGGGGAAAGTAGTGGATGTTTACCTTAACTACGTCAAGACTTCTGACACTGTCTTCCATAACATCTTCCTAGGTAAGCTTAGAAAGTGCGGGTTAGATGAGTGGACAGTGAGGTGGATTGAGAAGTGGATGAATAACAGCTCATAGGGTTGTGATCAGCAAAGCAGCATCTAGCTAGAGACCTGTAACTAGGAGTGCTCCCCAGGGGTCCGTACTGGACCCAGTCTTGTTCAACATATTCAGTGACCTGGATGAAGTGACAGACTGGGGTCTCAGCAAGTTTGCTGAAGATACAAAACTAGCAGGAGTAGATGACACCAGAAGGCTGTGCTACCATTCAACAAGACCTGGACAGGCTGGAGAGCTGCATGGAGATGATCCTAATGAATTTCAATAAGGGCAAGCATAGGGTCCTGCACCGAGGGAGGAATAACCCCCTGCATCAGTACAGGTTAGGGGTTGACCTGCTGGAAAGCAGCTCCATGGAGAAGGACCTGGGAGTCCTGGTAGAGAACAGGTTAACCATGAACCAGCAGTGTGCTCTTGTGGACAAAAAGGCCAATGGTATCTTGGGGTCCACTAAGAAGTACATGTCCAGTAGTTTGAGGGATATTCTCCTGCCCCTCTACTCTGGCCTGGCAAGGCCACATCTGGAGTAGTGTGTCCTGTTCTTGGCTCCCCAGTTCAAGAGAGACAAGGAACTGCTGGAGAGAGTCCAATGGAGGGTTACAAAGATGGCTAGGGGATTGGAGAATCTCTCATGAGGAAAGGTTGAGAGGCGTGAGGCTGTTTAGCCTGGAGAAGGGAAGACTGAGAGGGGCTCTTATGAATGCTAATAAATTATCTAAAGGGCATGTGTCAAGAGGATGTGACCAGACTCTCTTCAGTAGTGCTGTGATGGTTTGAAAATACCTGCCGCACCTGGTGGGTGGAGATTTGAAATCTAAAACCAGGAGCAAGCCTGAATAAGAAGAGGCGGAGACCTGTTCTATTCCCACTCCCCTCTTCCTGTCTTCGGGACTTCCTGCTAAGATCAAGGGGGGAGGGAGGCACGCACCCCCTGTCCCTGCTGGGACCTTCGGCCAGAGACACTGCTCTGTTGCTGTTTGTTGTTCCCTGCGCTAGCACGTGGCCTTGGCCACCTTGGGTCCTAGGCCTGTTCTCCAGACTCATTCCCTGCCTCCATCCACATCTAAGGATTGGCTACCCAGCTTCAATCGACCTCAATCCATTGAGATCCAGCACTGGGGAGCTTCAACACAGCATTTATTTTCATATTTTTGGAAATTTACCCCTCCTTACCTCGTTTTCTCCTATAATCCCTTTACCCTGTTAATCCCTACCCTTTTTCCTCTCTGTTCCCTGTTAAAGAATATATTTCATTTTGTTAACTTTCAATCAGTGCAAGACCTTTATTACCCCTGCCTTCCTCTGTTTTTCTCTCTACCTGGGAAAACTAAGGGATAAGGGAGGGGGAACACAATTCTGCTTTCTAACTGAGACAGAATTAATTTAAAACCCTTGGGCCCCACATTGGGCGCCAATTAATTCTGATTAATTCTTAGGTATAGATGAAAGCGGGGGATGAGTCTGGAGAACAGGCCTAGGTCCCAAGATGGCCACCACCATGTGCCATAACAGGGAGCTGCAGCAGCAACAAAACAGTGCGAGTCAGGCTGGAGGTCCCAGCAGAGAGAGATATCCTCCCTGCCCCCCTTTTATAGATCTGAGCCAGAAGTCCTGAAGACAGGAAAGGGGAAGTGGGAATAGAACAGGGAAATAGAACCTCTTCTCATTCAGGCTTGGCCTGGGGGTGGAGCTGGGCACAGCCCAAGCTAGCACATACTCCTGGTTTTAGATTTCAGATCTCCACCCACCAGGAAAAACAGGGATTTCAAACCATCATACTTGTTTATTGCTAAACAATTGAGACTAGGTCCATGGAGAAGGAACACAAAAAGGACAGACTATATGAGCTGTTTTTTGAGGCTGGACTAGTCCAGACTGAGGGAATCCAGGCCTTTATTCTGAACTGGAGGTTCGGCCCTATTTCTGCTGAGGGTGAAGAGACATAAATTGGAGAGAAGGGACCTGCAGTATGATACAGACACAGCCACTGAGACACAGTAACAACCTTATCCCTGGAGAGGTTGTCATTATTATCCTGCGGACCTGTTGATCATGCAGGAACAGCAGGAACAGCTCTGGGAGCTTCCCCTGGCCCTGGCAGGACCCTCAGGCTCTGATGCCTTCCCAGCATCACTCCACCCTTGGTTGCAGTTTTTCTTCTTTAACACCACATTCTGCCTTCTGCCATGAAAATTTCCAGTTAGATACATCCTCAGAGCCTCCTGGCTGTGAATTAGCCTGGAACTCAACAGCTGCCTTGTTAACTCAGCAAAGGCCCAGGACAGCGGGAAGCGCAGGCTCAGGAGCGATGCACCCGCTAGGGACTTTGCTCATCGCCTTGAACTCATCGCAGCCCAGCAAACTGGGACTTGGATACCCTTTGCTCACCTTCAGCAGCTCTTTATTCCCCTTCATCCCAGAGCTAAGCCATGCCAGGGCTACAAAACACAGCCCTGCTACAGCCTCTGGTGCCGTCTCCTGCTTCTGCTCTCCAGGGATCTCAGGGTTTGCAAGAGTCCCCGTGAAGGAGATTGGCCATGCGCTCCAGCTTATGGGGAAGGGATTCTCATGGCTCTTGTGAGTCAGCCCGTGGCTCCCCTATGCTCCCCCACATGGAAAGGAGACAAGCAGGCATGAATCCTGCATTTATCCCCTCTCTCAGCCACGAAACAGTCTGTCTCCAAGGAGCTTCCCCAGGTCGGCAGTGCCAACCACTACTGCTTCCTGACGGCAGGCACCTCGAGAGTGTCTGGATGCCGAGGGTAATGGCAGTGATATGGTGACAGCTGCCTCTCCTGTTCTGCTAATGACTAGGCCTAACATGAATGACACAACCAGCAGAAGATGAACCAATAGGTGGAATGTATTGAATACAAAAAGGACATTCCATGAATGATCACTCGGGGTACAAAGGGTAGCCATATGGCCACCTCCCACCCTTCTAGCCCACGTTTACAAATGTCCAAGCTGACCAGGGCCCAGATCCAGGACAGTTAGGAGGTCCTTCCTTAACCAGGAAGCTCTGTGAAGCACATCCACTTCACAAACAGCCATTCCTCCCTTCCTGCAAGTGGTCCCAGCTTTTATCCCCAAGCAGGACACCTGACCTTTGGTTACTCAATGCGGGACACCTGGGGCTCATTTCCCTTCTGGCTCTCCCTGCAGGGCCAGCCGGGGAAGCTAAAAGGCAAACTCACCACCTCCTTATGAAGGGCTGTGGGAATTACCCATATGTCAACCTTAATTTGGGGCTCAAACCCCAGCATTTCACTTTCCCTGAGCAAAATGGGTCAGAACCAGGTGGGATGCACATGGAGCCAGCTGTGGGGCTGGGAAGGGCAGCTCCATGGCTCTGAAGCACGGCTGGAGATGGGGAAGCCTTGGGTGCTGCTTCAGACAGGAAAGCCTTGGGTACTGCTCTCCAACTGGGGCAAAAGAGTTCAAAATCCCAGGTTATGGGACAATTCAAGCACTGCAAAGGGAAGCAAGATCTGGTCAAATGGGGGTTTCTGCTTGCGGTGGACACACAGCTAGTGAGATGTGGGAACACATGCTTCAGGGCTGGTTTTGGGGCGTGGAAAGCTCTTTGGGAGATGTAAGGTGGGCTTCTAGCACTCTCCACGGGATGGGTGGGGCTGCTCTGACCACCCCTCATTCCCTCCTCTCCATGGTGACAGTGCCCTACCCACACTCCTGTGTGATGACACTCATCACGTGATGGAACTGCGATGACTCCTTTGTGATGACACTGTCCTTAGCCACCAGTCCAGTGGCCTGTCCACAGAGCCTGGGACGGTGCAGGTGCAGGACTAGGCTCAGGGACTGGCTGTGTGCCAGGTTCTCGTCTCTCCTGTGCTTGCCACTGGGAAGAGGGGCTGTTCTCCAGGGATCCCCGACTGCCGCTGGGGTCCCGACCCCTGACCAGAGAGGAACTGCACCACCTGCAGTGTGGTGAGCTGCACCGGGAGTGACAGGGGAGCCCAGGGGGATGAGTGGGGCTGGGAAGGACCAGTTTGGGGGGTGAGGGCTGTGGGATCAGCTCCAGTGCCCTCCCTGGCTGCAGTGGGACTGGGGCTGGATCCAGGTGATATTCCCCACTTGCCCTCCCTGGGGGCATTCCCGGCCAGCATGGGGTGGGCCTGGCCTTGCTGGGATTTCTGTGGAAACCCAGGTGCCAAACAGGATGGAATAGCTCAAACCATCTGTCCTTCCCCTCCTTAGAAGCCCAGTAAGGAGCGTGTTTTGTAATAACATCATTACAGACGCTCTCCTTTGATTCATCCTGCAGCCATCTGGGACGGTTTCCTCACAGCCTAGTGTGTGCTGAGGGATCGGGGGGAGGACACAACTACCCCATTACCCACCTTTCGTTTCTCCCCTTGCAAAGCAGGCCTGGCCCTGTGGAGACGACCTTGTACTCTTGAAGCTGACTGGAAGACATGAGGGGCTCAAAGGTACAGGCTGAAAGACAGTCCCAAGCTGAAGCGGGGTGCCGGGGGGACTTTGCTCTGGAGTGGATCAGAAGCACTCATGCAGTTGGTTTGCGTGGCTCTGGGTTTGGGGTGGTAAGGAGTATCCTGGGTGGCAGGGAAGAGCTGGAGCTGGTGATGCCAGTAAGTCATGTGTCCAGCTCTGCTGTTTGCTGGTCATGTTTGCTCAAGTGACCCAACTCTCCTTCTCTGTGGCAGCATGGAGGGGCCTCTCTGAGGCAGGAGCTTCCAGGCTCGCTTGTGAAGGATGAGGAAAAGCTGGTTGTAGCTGACATCAGAAGACTGCAGAAGCGGTGTGGGATTGCTGCAGAGAAGAAGTCGTCTTATGGTGCCCACGTGAGGCAGCAGATGCAGGCCCAGGAGTGAGTGCAGTTTTGCTCGGCTGCCTTGTGCTTGGGAGATCTGGGGACCTCAGTGCCGAGATGGGAAGGGCTCAATGTGCTAAATGTCATTTGCTGTTCTGTTTTTACAGAAGAGAAATGGAGTCACTGGTTCGAGAGCACAAAGATGTGTCATTAACGTTGGGCCAGATCACCTCCCTGAGAAACACTAAGCAGGATGACAGAAATTGTGTGGAGCTGTGCCGCCTTTGGCAAACAAAAAAAGAATATGATTCTGTGATTAGAGAGAGAAAAGCCCTATTAGCTGACCTGGACAGCCAGGTAAGAGTATCTGCACCCTTCCCTGGCTGAGCATGGTAGAGCAGAGCAGGGTCTCAGGGTGAGCCCTGTGGCTGAAACTCCTCAATGTCAAGTGCATTCAATTCAGGCCGTGGAACAGAACGGTGCCTCCTGGCAAAAGCCAGATGCCAGTGACAAATGCTAGAGCCAGGCTCCCATTCCAGCCAGCAGCTCTGGCTAGACGGGTAAGGTCTGACTCTGCACCTTGATGTTCTACTGGTCTCTGCAGCTGCTCTTTGGTGGCACACACCTGCCTGGGGTCACACAACACCCCTTTGCTTTTCCCTTGACATTTTTTTCCTCCTGTAAAAGATGGGAAAATGGAACATTTAGTTGTGCTGCCTGAGACATGGCAAAGAGAGGATCAGCAATATCTGAGGGAAGTCCCATCTCTTCTCCTGAGGACAGCTTGGTTGGATTTGGGATGGGAGGCCAAGGGAAGCCCAGTGCTCCAGGAGTGACAAGTCCCTGCAGCTTTCTGCTCTGCACCAGCCAGCCAGGGAACATGCTCGGGCAGTTTACAGCTGCTGGAGGTGCTGCAGAGCTTTCCCCAATGGGGTGAGCTTTCCAGCAAGGATCTCTTGGCTGAGTCATACCTCTCCCACTTGTCCCCTGCCTCCTTGTTCTCCAACTACTTCATTCTTCACGTGGGTTTCTTTCCTTTGGCAGCTCCCCAGTTCTGGCACAACTGTTCCTCTGCTGACAAACCCCACCATCATCTCCTCTCCCACTCTAACAGAGTGCTGCTGGGTCTTGTTCAACACCCGCTGAACTTCCCTGCAGAGGCAGCTGCGTTTCCTTCATGCCATGAAAACAAACCCATCCCTAGTTACAGTTCATGTTTCTGCACCTGCAGGATGGGATCCTTTGGGATCAAAGCTGCTTCTGTAACTGTGAGCTCATTCATGACATGGTTGCTGTAGTTTGGGTCAACAGAGGGGATTTTCTTTGGCCAAGTGTCCTGACAAGAGTCCAGAATGTAGAGGTGGAGATTATACTAGATTTTTTTTTCTCTGTGTGTGCAGATATTAGAGCTGGAAAAAAAGATTGCGAAGCAATACCGGAGAGCAGCGAAGGCGAAGCACGCCAACAGCAGCCATCAGCTGCAAAAGCGGATTGAGGCACTGGAGACACATCTGTACAACGTAAGCAAACGCTTTGAGAGCCTTTGGAGACCATGCGTGGGGCTCTTCTGGGGCTTCTGTGCAAAACACTTTTTGGACAGGACAGAGAGTGGTGGTGCAAATGCATTTGGTTGACACAAGCTGCATCCTGACACTTGTTCCCCTGGCCTGATTGCTCCCAGAATATCTCCAAGGTGCCTCCAAGCTTGGTGACCCAAATGCAGCACTTGTGGCATGCCAAGAAACCTCAAGGTCTGCACCTGTTTAGTGATAGAACTGAGCTGCCTGAAGTCACCTTGCCTTGGACAAGCCCAGCTCCAGCTCTGTCATGACCAGCCTGGCCTACTGGAGCCTCTCTGGTCTTGGGGAGGAGGAGAGTGCAGGGCCAACTTAAAATCTCTTGGGCTGTGTTTGTCTCAGCCCTGGTCAAGCTCTTTCAGCAGAGACCTGAGCCCCCAGGCCCACACTATCTTCAAACCATCTGCTTCCCTCTCCCCAGCTCACTGTACGTTTTGATACCAACATGACCAGAAATAAGAAACTCCAAGAAGAGATTACAGACCTACAAATACAGAAGGCAATTCTTGACAAGCTCTACTTCAAGCTCCATAAAAAGCTGAATCAGCTTAAGACCCGGATGAACGCTGCCATGGAGCAAATCACACAAGCCTATAAGCAGTGGTCCGTGGCCTTGGGAACCCCCTGTGGCAAACCTGGCACCAACAGGCAATGCCAGGGATGAGCATTGGTGTGATGAGAGACTGACTGCAGCTTCAGGAAGAGGAGTCATTGGTCCAGTCTCGAGCTGGGTGCTGAGGGCTGGGTGCCTGCTCAGGACAGGGAGATCAGTAGCGCCAGGGTGATTTACTCCACCTATCCCAGATGTTTCTCAGGATGGGGTGAGTTGCCCCATGGAGCAGCCTCTGACTCCCACCTGAACCCACCCAAGGGGATACAGCAGACATGGAGTAGAGGCCAGCCAGCTCTGGTCAAAGGAAGCCTGGCTGCCACCATTGGATGCTGCGTCCAAGTACAAAAGCCCACCAAGAGCTACATTAGCCTGCTGCTGGCCTTGGGCTAACAGAGCTGCATCTAGGTGAGAGCTGGGCAACGTGCACAGCATCTCAGGGGCTTTCCTAGGCCATGCATGGAGATGCATGGGAATGGTCTGGAATACAAATCCTTGGTGTAACCTGCTGCTGTCTGCATGCAGGATGGAGGCTCTGGCAAGGACTTCTGACATGAAGGAACAGAACAGCAAAGATGCCCTGCAGTACAACATCGAGATGCAGCAGCGGGAGCGGGTCTTGGATCAGGAGGGCAGACTTAAAACATTCACACTCACCAAATTTACCAGTCGGGCTGAACTGGAGGAAGAGGCCAGAAAGAGAAAAGGTAACAGATAAGAGAAACCACTTGCCACTGGGACTGCAAACCCGGGGTCTGCAGGCCTGGCAAAGGGGGCTGCTCAGGGCACTGCACGCCAATGGCAGGACCTCTTGCCTGCCCACAGGCTCCCTCACCCACCCTTTGCCCTACAGAAGAAAAAGA